ATTATATTTACAGAAGTAATTAAGCCATTGTTTTTAGTAGTGAGATGCTGATATAATAAAGCTACTTACAAATACTTTAATTTTTTGAGATAATATTCTCTCAGCAATATCCCCTTAGTATGGAATATTTGCTTTTTTAAACTTCACACGTTTGATTCTCATGGATATTTTGAATGAATCCCCTTCCCAATTTCAAGTTCACTTACCCTAATAAAATAAATATTTAACTTCTGAGGTTTTACTTTTTTATTAAACAATCACAGTTAGTGATGGACCACCAATGAACAAGCTAGTTAATATTTGACCCAAATATTTTAATGCACCCAATGAAGCAATTTAGGAAGGGTACTAAATACAGGGGAAATGCTAATGAAATAATATTCAAGCAAGGATGGAAATTAATATAACCAAAGCAATTATAAGTTAATGTTCCCATGGAGGGTGAGTTATCTCATTGATTTCAGTAACTGTTGTGTGTGTGTGTCTCCATCCTAATAAAATATGAGTATAGTCTGATGTTTTTAATTATAGAAAGTAATGTTTATTTAATCAACAAATAGTATTAAATAGATTGTACAGAGGGAATATTTTCTTTCTAAAAACAAATCTTACCTAATAATGGGAAGAAATGTTTCTTAACTACATCACTTCACTGTTTAGAGATTAAGCATATTTTTCCTTTTTGCTCATTTACATTATTATCTATGAAATGAACACTCCCAAAATATGTTTCATGCTTACTGCACTTTCAATTGGATTTGAGGTATGTGAAAACCATGCTGACAAAATGTGCTATTTTTGCTGTTGAATGTATCTTACTTTTTACTTTTAAAATCCATTATAGACTGTTTTCGAAGCAAATTTTATAATTGTCATTTAACAGCTTAAATAAAAAATAATTTAAACTAATGACTTAGAGGGTTATTTATTTGCATGTTCTTCAAATGGAATGGTATATTCAAGAACCAAGTGTCCTGAAAAAATATGAGATACATAGCCACTGTATAAAAGAAGTAGCTTTCTGAAAAATTTAAAGTCAACTCAACATGTATGATTGATTTAAAATACATATTTAAAAGTGTCACAGTATAATTATTATTATGAAACATTATAACATGATTATATATGATTATATAATATGATTATATGATACTATAATGATTATTAATAACACTGTTAGATTACATTCAACACTTATTATTTTCATATTTAAATAGTGTACTCAATGAAATAAATAATCTTAATATGAACATTTCATAAATAGTTTTAAAATAATTTTATGGTTAATTATCTATAAATATTATGTACTCTAATTTTCTCATTTTGTGGGAAAGACCAAAGTATATAAATAATTGAAACATTTTGTAAAGTTACCTTTACTCACCATAGACCTAAGAATAGAAATGAAGACTTCAACAATGTACTTAGATTAAAATATGGTGGGACTTGTAGAATATGATTGCTGACTCACTTCACGTTATTTTCCAGCTGAGCAATTCATGTCCACTAAAAGCAAATTAATAGACTCTCATGTGATAACACATTTCAAACATAGTAATTAGTTTGCTTAATATATATGTGTTATTTTAATTAGGAGCTCTTGGTACATTTAAAAAAAGCCTTAAATGTGAAAGAGCAATTATATTTATATCTATTATTTACAAAGTATTTACTGTAAATGTTTTCTTTATATGGTATTATTTTCTAATTACAACATCTAAATAAATATACCACTTGAGTAAAATTTAGGAACATTATATAGGTAAATATATAATTATGCAGAGTTTATAAGTGGATATAATATATCTGGGTATAGTTCATATACAACGTATAAGTAATGTATTTGTATAATGTGTATGAAATATAAATAAAAGCTACATGGATGCCAGGTAGATATTGGAATACACCAGTAAACAGTGTAATAATTGAGTTAATTATGTTAGATGGTAATCAATGCTATAGCAAAGATACAGGAAAGGAGAAAGGGAGAGAAGATGGACAGAGGGAAGAAGGATAGCAGGAGAGTGTGAGAGTGAAGAAGGAGGGTCCAAGGGTCCATCAGAAATCGGTGGTTTGGAAAGATTCAGTATTAAATAAGGGTAGACTTTATTGAGAAAGTGAGATTTTAACAAAGACTTAGAAAAGGTAAGGGGCAGACACAGTTGGCTTATTTTGTAGAATTTTATTCTGGAATACTTACAGAATAAATGATTTATTTCAAAATTTAGTGTTATTCAAGTTCCAAATACAAAGTATGTTCTTCTTACAAGACAATACCTAAAATTTTGTTCTTTACATCTTCTATAAGTTTTCACAAAGAAGTATCATATGACTTTATTTTTACAAAATTAAAAATAAGGCAGAAGATGAGTCCAAGTACATTTTTAGTGTAAATTCGACTTGATGTTTTTATTGAGAATACTACATAGGAAGTAATATAATCACATCCAATGGAAGGATATAGTTCATATTTAAACATTATGAATTTTTATTAATATCATCATCATGTTCTATTAAAAGGCATCCAAGTGAAAATGTGGAATTATGAGATAATAATTGGCATAATTTAAGGGACACTTAAATCTAATGATAGATATTAATAAGAATTATACTATTTGCATGTTGATATGCTCTATTGCTTGATACTTTAGTATTTGCCTATCTATATTCGTCAATGCCTTAGCTCTTTAACTTTCTACATGTCTTCTCCTCTGATAGGGTGTTAAGCATTAAGTGACAGATACTTACTTTGAGTTGGTTACACATGACTTACTTATTCGGATAGGATACTTATTTATTGTGTATTAAGTGCCAGACACTGTATTAGTCACCAAAAATACAATGCAGATAAGACAATTCAGTTCAATAAATTACACTAATAGTTTATTAAAGGGAACAAACATGAAAAAATAAATACAATGTGCTATGAATATGCAATAATAATATAACGGTGCTGAGCACCATTAACAAGAAACTCATTAAGCACTTTGCATCTCTATCTTCCGTCCCTCTAGACAGGCAATACTAACTCCATGGTAAAAATTTAAAGTAAAATCCAGAGTGGTTAAAGAACTGGCTGTATCACAAGGGCAGAGTCTGAATGTGAACTGGGGCTTTTGTACCTCATTGATTGCTCTATCACTGTATTTTCTTGCTTGTTCAGAAGCAAGAATGACTAACTGAGCCTGGAGATGAGTCTAGAAAGGTTTTAGAGCAAAAAGAGCACTTCAGCTGAGGGTTATTGTTGAGTATTTTTTAGGCAAAGATACAGGAAGGGATTTTAGCATGAAGGAATGTGTTGTGTAAAGCAAAGACAATGAGATCCACAGTTGCTTGTGGTGGAAACAAGGATCACAGTGGTGTTTGTGTTTGGCTGGATGTGAGAAGCACAGCAAGAGGGTGAGAGATGCCAGTACAACTAGAGACTGGTAGCCATTTGATGAAAGACTTCTATCTGTTGCTAGCAAATTATTCCTTTAGTATAGGGGTGGCAAGTAAATTTTACACTGATTTGTATAGACAGTGGCTTATATTTCAAGCCATTGCTTTTAGAGTAGCAAGGAGGAATAATTTGGATCTGAAGAAACTTATAAAAGGGTATGTGATAATTTAGAGGTAAATTTCTAAACAAAGTTGGAGTAGAGAGGAGAGACATACTGAAGAATTTTATTGTTATTGGTATTTTTGTTAGGTATGACAAGTGACATAAGGGGAAAGGAGACAAAGAAAACACATCCCAGCTATTTAACTTAGTTGTGGGATGGATGGTGCTGCCATCAGTTGAGATATAGGAATGAGGAAGAAAAATACACTTGGTGGTAGAAGTGGGAAAATGAGTCACATTCCATTTTCTACATTTGCATTGTCTACATGGGGACTTTTGTAGACAACTAGGAATACATGCTGTAGCTCAATAGAGAATTCAGATCTGGATCTCAAACTAATCTGCCTATAGGTACTATGCAAAGTAAAGAGTGAAGATTGCATTCAGGCATGAACCCATAGCCCAAGAAAACTTTCAAGATCAACCAAGACCAATCCTGAAGAATACTAATGTTTATAGTGCATTCTTGGTCTAGTATGGAATTTTACTGCAGTGAAGAAAGCTTTGAAGAACTAATCAAAGAGGTAGGGAGAAACAAGGCTGAAATGGAAACACAGAAACCAAAAAGTGATGTGCTACACATGTCCCGTAAGATTTGTGTTTCTAAATACTTAAAAACATTTCTCTAATGGGTAAGATAAGCAGAATTGTTTCCCTTTATAGTGTCATTTTGAAGCCCCGACTATAGCATTGTTTTTACAAGTATACTTCAATATGATTCAGTCGATAGTATTAAAAGATTATAAGAAAAGTCCAGTGGAAGTTTTGGTTGTGTTTCACATGAATGTGTCCCCTTCCTCCCTTGCTCCCTCACTCCCTTTTATTCTTTTTGTCCTCTCTTCCATACTTCCTTTTCCCCTCCTTCCTTCCTATGAGAATGTTGCTCACGCTCACTCTCTGTCTCTCCCACTCTCCCTCCATCCCTCTATTTGATATGAATCGTATAAGATACAATGTGGATCACATAAAGATTTCCTCTTTGCACTGACTGCTAAAATCCTAAATTTATTTCTGAGGGCACCTGCTCTAGGACCTAACTGTGCACAGTGTGAGTCAGCTTCTCTGCTGACTTTACCTTTCCCAACCTGCCTAAGCATCTCATTCCGTTATTTCACACTTGATTCTACCTTGCTAAATTGTATGACTTTTGTAAAGTATAACACTATTTGTTGGAACAAGAAAGAATATACAAACTCATTTGTGTGTTAATTTGGAAGGTTTGTAGAGTAGTTTTGATCTGTTATGGACTTCATTCGATTAACATTTTGTATTGGTCAATGATGGGTCAGTCGTCATTCTAGAGCCCAGCTTTTCTCAGCGTCTCCAAGTCACCTTAGAAGTTTCTCTTTCTCTGGGTGGCTGGCTTTGATCAAGGCTTCATATCTCTCTTCCTCAGTGACAAGGACGGTGTGTGCAGAACAATGTGATGGCAGGTGCTACGGGCCCTATGTCAGTGACTGTTGCCATCGAGAGTGTGCAGGAGGCTGCTCCGGACCTAAGGACACGGACTGCTTTGTGAGTCTGGGAGAACTTCCTTTTATTCACCTGCTTTCCCTGCCCTCCTCTTTGACTCAGGCACATTGAATCTTTAACATCCCACTTAAAAGATCTAATTTAACCATTTTAGGATTAAGTAAGAGTCTCTGCCTTCCTAGAAGTCATGCATTCACTGGGTGGCTATTGATTAACTAAGATTGTTCTTTGTGTCCTTTTGTTGTAATTTATACTACCAGTGAGATTTATCAGACAATGTGAAGATGATCATGTTGAGATGTCTTTTTAAAAACTAATATTATCTTTCCAAAATGTATAGTGATTACCTGCTTATGTTGTTGCATCACTGAGTCCTCAACATTTTATTTCTTAAATATGAATTTAAGATAATAGCAGACAAATGTATAAATTTAATTATTTTAGTTTATGTTGTTTCCAAACGAATATCATTCAAAATTATACAATTTACAAATGCATGCTTGAAGCAATTTATATGCTAATCTGTGTGATTTTTATTGTAGAAGAGGACATTTTTATTTCCTTAAAATTTACCACTTGTTGAGAACACTTAATTACATTTTGATATCTCCGATAAAGCTCTTTCTGTTCTCTTGAATACATACAAGCAATTCTGTGAGCTATAGTTAATGTAATTTCATACACACACTAGCTTCATTTTCAGTTAAAAACCATAAAATAAGAAGTTATTTTTGTTGTTAAAAATAAAGACAGGGGTTTATTTTTTGTTACCCCTTCTCAACTATCCAAAGAATACATGTATATATCTAGAATAGAATATTCTTTCAAACTGGCATTTAATTCTGGAAATAAGCAAACTATAAATTATAGCTCTTATGATATAATCATCTGTGAATTATCTTAATGTAACAAGAAATTTAACTTCTGTACCATAATCTTACAGTGAACAAAAGTATGTATTGCAGAAGTGACTAGTGAGGAAGAAGAAAAGAATATTGAAACATTAACAATTTAAGGCAGCTGCTCAACAGGTCTTTGCTTGTCTCCAGCCATGGGTTGGAACCTGGATTTGGTAGATGCTGAACAAGCACTGTGTTAATTCCAAAGCAGTAACAACAATCAACACCAACAATACTCATTACTTTCACCATGTTTTTCATGGTTCCATTACCATGATAAGCAGAGTGCCAAGCGAAATTCAGAGTTTTCATTTCATTATTTTATAGACCGTTCGCATGATTCCACTTTGCTATTTGGTATAGCATGTTCAAGAATGCCAGGCCAAGGCTTTGGCATAAGTTGTGGTGTTTTGTTTGTCTGGGAGGTAAATTTATTTGATTCCTCTGGCTTATGTTCCTTTGTTGACAAGCAATCTGTGCACGGCATCGCATAAAGTATGTTAGTAAACAATTATGAGGACACATGAAGTTTTATAGCCATAAATTAAAACTCACTGGGTTTTCTAGATTGGTTTTTAATAGATTCTTCCTGGAAAGTGTCATCTTAGTGAATAATGTATCATCAGTGATTCTTGTTCTGATTACGCATCTCGTAGACCACCATCAGGGGATTGTCTTGCTTGTGATCTAGTGCTTGCTAAAACAACTGATGAAAAAAATGTTTTGAGAAAACAGAATGAATTAGTGCTTATTAATAAGCATACATAAAATTTATGATGACTATAAAATACTACATAAGTTCATGTTAGCTTGCCTTCCAAAGCCTAAATTATTCCTGTGAAAGTTTCATGTTTTTAATTAATAAGATTAGTTCATCCACTCTTTGTTAATCACAAGTTTTTATGTACTTTTACATATGCTCTAGTTTTACACTACATACCTCACTCTCAGGTAGTAAAATTGTCTTTAATTCTTCTCAAAAGCATTTGAACAGTTTAACATATTAAGATTTTAATGCAAATATATGTCAGTGGATATGAATTGTTTTACTTGAATTGATGGCTTTTACCAAATTATGTGGCATTATGAAAGAGATTATGCAGAAAATGCCATCATATGATGCAATGATGGACTACATAGAGCTTCTTCATGTTTTGGTATTGCACACCCTACATTGACTCTTTGACTAGTCAACTGCCAGAGCCTTTTCTCTGAGTCCAGTTTAAGTGGCCATCATGTATTTTCTCACTATATGGTGAAAATGAATGTCACTGAAGGCAATGAACTCTAAAAGTCTATCCTTTAGAGTTGGTAATTTAGTTATTAGTTATTAGCTCTAGACTCTAAGACTCAACATATAACCCTCTGAATAAGTGTGAGCTTAAATAATGTTTTACTATTAGATAACTTTAATAATTTAAGCTAATTTTCAATTTAGAAGTTAGTGGACAGATACTAAGCAATTTGAACAACAATAACTACAGGTGGTGTATTTACCGACATTGTAAAAACAGGTTTGTAAAATTGTAGAAGTCCTAAGCAAATCTGGACTTAAAATTAAGCACTGGTGACTAAAATTGTCAGATTTTTCAGTTTTTTTATGCAATTGACACATATTTTATAAAGAACATAAACTTCCATAAAAACTGCTACAGTAGTGTTCCTTTAATAATAGTATTAAGATTATTGTGAGATGAAATTAACGTTTGCTATGTTGCAGGCCTGCATGAATTTCAATGACAGTGGGGCTTGTGTTACTCAGTGTCCCCAAACTTTCGTCTACAATCCAACGACCTTCCAGCTGGAACATAACTTCAATGCAAAGTACACGTATGGAGCATTTTGTGTGAAGAAATGCCCACGTAAGTAACAGGAAAAGAAGAGCCAAATTAATTATGTCATTATTTAAAAACAAAAGAGTTTTAGGCCAATTTACCATAACTCAAAATTGTAATAATATCATGAATTACTCAGAGATGGGGACTATAAGGGCTTTCAGAAACTACTATAAAGGACACATGGACAAAACCAAGGGGGAGGGTAGAAGCAAGGGAGGGAGGTGGGTTTGGCTGGGGCAGGGGGAGTGGTGGGGAGAAAATGCAGACAGCTGTAATTGAACAACAATAAAGTAATTAAAATTAAATAAATAAATTCAAAAAATTAAAGTGATTGGTCCAAAGTCTCAGCAAAGGAATGGTATGTTTGAGGTTAGAGTGCAGTCTCATTACCTTCTAAACTCTTTTTTTTTCTGCACAGCATTGATTTTATACAACATGCTGTTTCTCAGAAAAGTGATTAGTTTTGTGGAGCAAGCTACATAATGAAGTATGCTTCTAATACCAATGAATCCTTACCTAAAATTATTTCTGATTACTTATTTGTAAAGAGTATGTAGCGTTAGTTTTAAAATCACCTCTAGTAGTAAACAGTAATGGTAAATAGGAAGGGCATATGAAGAGTTCCTCACCAAGCACTCTGGGGATTTAGAGTGACCAGCTTAAATTTCATGAAGAATTCACTAAAACATGTCCTGATTCTCCCTTGAGTTAGTTTCTTTGCTTAGACTGACCAATGGGATATTTCTGCCATGTTTTATCCACTGGCAAGGCTGAGGATAAAACAAATGAGTGATGTGAGAATCACTACATTTGTTCACATACTCATTTTAAAAAAGGCTTTCTAATCTACACAACACAGAGAGTATGGTTGTCTTGGCTTTGTCCATGTGTTGGCGAGGGAGTGTGAGCTACTATTAGAGTAGCTCTGGGTTCTGACTTTGCCTGCTTATGACCACGCTATTCCAAATGAACTATTTAGCTTTTCATTCCCTCCTCTTTTAAGATGCTGTGGTAACAATCTTATCTTTCTTTTTCCCAGAGTCATTATAAAGATCAAAGGGATAGGAAATAAGGATCCAAGAGATAGTATATAAAAACAAGTTTTTGGATACAGTGACAATTCTAGTCATTATTATTAAATATTTTATATAAGTTAAAAGAATAATTATATATGTAGCATATAATATATATACACTGACTCTAGGACAGTAGACCTTTTTCCATTTTAAACACTTTAATATTCAAACATGTTCTTAATCTAATAACATCTTATCTACACTTACGCTTTATCTCACCATCTAGTGTCTTCACACAATAGGGGGCTTGAAAGTATTATATGTAAAATGGGGCTAGATGATGAAGTTGTTCCTTTTCTTAGACAAATGTTATCTTATTTTACTACCTTCAAATTATGGTGCCTGGTCCCAAGGACAGTCAAAATCATGCTTTGTTCTTGTTTGTTTGTTTGTTTGTTTGGGGACTTTTTTGTTTTTGATTTTTTTAAAATTCAAGTCCTGAGGCTGAGGCCCAGACTGTAGGCTGGAGTGGAAGAAGTACCAAAAAATTTGGACTGAGTATTCACATTTTCTTTATTCTATCCTTTACACTGGTTCATCCAAAGCATCTTGAATTGTAAATAATGGCAAGTGGCTAAACATTGAGAATTAGTTTGTGAAATTACATGCCCAATTACCTTAGATATGGTGACTCATGAACTTTCTTTCTTGGACTAGTTCAGGTTTATCAAATCACAAACCAATTTAAAACACTTCAGTATTTAAAAATTAAATCTTGACTAGATTTTACTAATAAGTCATGGCAGCTAAACTAGAAAAACAAAGATGTTTATCTTCTAAATACTGCTCTATAATCCCTAATCTGGAATTCTGAAATTCAAAAATTCCAAATAACAAATATTTTTTGAAACCCATTTGGCTGCAGATACTGAACCTAATTCACAGGAAGCTATTAATAATCTTTATTTATTTTATTCAGCATAAGTCAGTGCAAGAGTGTGGAGTAAGGGGTATTCCTAAAGACCTTGCAGAAAGGATGGGCACCTGTTGCACAGCGCATGGGCCTGCTGCTCCTTGGGTCCCCCTGAGACAGAGAGTAGTTTGTCAAGGAGTGTTCTCAGAATCAAGACCCAAGGGGACAGGAAGGCAAGTGCCATCAAGCTGTGACACAGTGTCATCTAAGTGCCTTGTTTCATGGCCAATGCCCTCTGATAGGTTAGGTGTTAACTCAGAACACAAGCATCTTTACCTTCACACATCCTTCCCACTCCCATGGATTCATATATGTCCCTCTACCCCAGACTCCCTTCAATTCCAGATTTTCCAGCACTTCTTTTTACAGGACAAACACTGCTCATGAGTTCCTATTAATGCTAAGCTTAGGTCACTTCCACACAAAGTAAATGATCATTTGCACTCCTCCAAACTCTACCCACTAGTAGGATGTTTCCTGTCACTACCTTTCAAGTTCACTCCTTGGAGAGAGCACACAGCAGCTGCCATCTATTTTCAGCTACTTGCATTCATATACAAAGCTTAGTTTTTCTCCCCATCTGCCAGCTTGCCACACATGCCCTCTCTTGGTCCTTACTCAATCACAGGTGTGAGCTGGGTGGGAGGTGCCAGCACCATGGTAGATGATGTGGAGGTTGGACCAACTACTCATGTAGTTTTCTTGTGTCTCTGCCAGAGCTCATATTCTATCCCAAATCTACTGTTTCCATCTTGCAATGGATTTATTATGGAACTGTCCAACATTATGACATCATAATTCTAATAAAATTTTGTTTTGTATGGGCAAGTCTGGCAACAAGGTCAGTCAATGACCCATGGTTAGGTGTCTGTCCCCACCATAACCCAGGAGCATATCAGGAGCTGTTTGGTAAACGGTGTATAATTTATACTGCAGATGGTGTGGTTTAGCTCAAGAATCCTAGGGGTCTCTCATGTGATTTCCCAGTTGGGATTTGCTATAACTCCACATGGTGTATTTTCCCACCATATATCCTTCTAATGTCATAGCACCTCTTGGACTTTGTGACTCCAGCAGTAGTGTTGCTTGCACCCCAGACTACACCCGCACCATATGCCGTTCTTCCTCTGGGCCCCCTTCAGGCCAGACGCCTTCCATAATACCAAAGTCTGAGCCAGAAGCAGCAATCTCAGACAGGGAAGGATGCTGCCTTTAAAACCCGAACTGGCATAGTAGGTATCATGTGTTCCCCTCACTGTGGGAGACTCTACATGCAAAAAGTTGACCTTTTCTTGGGAGAGAATGTCTTGGCATATTCCTGATCACTGGACTCCTAAACACTTTATTAATGTGTCAGGTAATTAGATATTCCTGGCTTATTTTGTACAACTTTCTTAACAGTGCCCTATCAAATTTTAATTTGTTTTATCATATAAAGCTATAGGGCAGTTTCTATGGCTCTCCACAGAAAGATGGAACACATTTTAAATATTTTTTTCCTGGATTGAAGTTCACTCTCTTGATTGAAGGCAGTTTAACTTCAGCTTCATTTGTGCTTCGTGTAACTTGAAGTATTTGAGACTTCTGACTTGCATCATGACGTGAAATGAAGTGAAACTATTGAAAAACACAAACTAAATGTTATGTAGTTTCCTAAGTCTATAAAAGAAATTTACTCTGTCTCAGGGGGCCATTCAGGATGTGGAGCTGTAGTCAAGCAAGTGCTCATTGTTGTCAAACACGCCATCCTAAAATTTGAATGTGGATGTTCCTAGATGCCGTTCTAGGTTGAGTTCTTCATACAGAGGCTTATTTGAAGGAAAGAGACATATATGCTATCAAGGATGGTAATCATGTTCACACTGTAAAATATTTTTGTTTAAGTTTGTTTGCTGCACACCAACATTATTGCTAATTTTACCTTTTTTATCAGATAACTTTGTGGTCGATTCCAGTTCTTGTGTGCGTGCCTGCCCCAGTTCCAAGATGGAAGTAGAAGAGAATGGGATTAAAATGTGTAAGCCTTGCACTGATATTTGCCCAAAAGGTGAGTGATATTCTGGCTGGAACAGAGAGCCTAGAACAAGTTTACTTTTATACTTTTATACGCATTTACTCTTTAGTGGGGAGACAACGTTCACCTCTCAGAACATATCACTCCCACAGCAAAACCTCCCCACAGAAACTTTTCCACGACTTTGAATAGTTCTCAGGATTATCCACAATTGTAACAATGTCTATTACTGATTTTGAATGATAAATGCTACTATAATCCAGATAAAACTCAAGTTAACTTTGATAGGAACTCAGAAATTAAGTTCTATTTTATTTTACATGCAGCAAATCTTAGACATTATGAGCAAAGCAATGGTTCACACAGTTATTTTAGCATCCAGAACTCATATTAGTTGCTTGCCAATGTATCCACAATCATCTCCTATGCATAAAAAGGGTACAGAGGGAAATGCAACATGACATTTACTCTCCAGGTCTAAAAAATATTTTGAGAGTAAGATATAGGAAATGGCAAGGACATTTACCATAAGTGCTAAATAAGTGTTGCAGATAATTGATGTTCTAGAATTTGAGTGGAGGAAGAAATAACTTCCAGCTATGGTGCTCAAATTAAAGTCCCATTCAAAAAAAAAACTTTAAATATTATTAAGCTTTTCAAAGTAATGGGATTGTGTTTTAAAAGTGCAAATTTTGGAATTACTTTTAGACTACATTCTCTCTCTTCACACACACACACATTTTGGGGCTTTTTTTCTCCTTTTTTTTAAAGTGGAGCCTAAAGAAAGCACAAATAACACTTAAAGTATAAACGTTTAGATGGCTCCTTATTGTAATTATAACTCAACACATGTCATTATCACTCTGTTAGTATATATTCTTAATTAGACAAGTACTTTTAAAACTGGAGGTTGTAGACCATTATCAGCCTATGAAATTATTTTCAGTGACCAGCATTTAAAAAGTATTAAAAACAATATTTTGGGATGAATTAGAAATGAAGTGACTTAATATATGTAGTAAGGACAAGTTTTGATTATTCAAAGTATCATTTTAGTTATGCATCTGCTATGTGTGTATACTGGGTTTTGATACAAAATACAATTCTTGTGAGTCATGGCCACTAGATAATAATACAGGAACACTGCCGGCCCAGTAGCAAATGTTGCATGAAAGAATTATTATATATGTTAGAAAGCCATTTAATTCCTATGATAATATTTTAATTTTATAGTGACAAAATGTTAGTTTATAATGAAAATGCAATGATTTATTGACTGAAAAAAATAAAGTTTCTCAGTATCCTGACTGTGAATCTTGTTTCTCCAGCATGTGACGGCATTGGCACGGGATCACTGGTGTCGGCTCAGACTGTGGATTCCAGTAACATCGACAGATTCATAAACTGCACCAAAATCAATGGGAATTTGATCTTTCTTGTCACTGGTATTCATGGGTCAGTACCAAATTTTTGCAGAAAATGATTTTATGAAGTGTAGACAAAGCTTAAGCACATCTTTAGCTTTGTTTGCTTGATTCTTTTTGACCCAGAAGAGTTCTGCCCCACATTAAATGCTCTTCTCCAGCAAATCAAATGTCATATTTCACCAGCACGGAGGGTAAACCCAAGTGTGGGACACACCCAGATTGCACGGGAGTGGCTACTCAGATTTAAAAACATACTTTTATGTACAAGCTAACAAATATTTGGAGAGCATTCTCATTTGATCTGGAGATTCCAGCAAACTTGATACATTTTTAGATATGATTAGGGAAGCAATAGCAATGGGTGACGTGGCGAGTTCCATTTAAATTTCTAAACAATCAGTTTAAAACATCATAAGTAAATATTTCTTTAAAAATGTATCTCACAAAAAGCAAATCAGGAAGTTGAAATTTTCCTGAGCTTTCAGAACTTTGTTTTGACTTCACATGTGTTTTTCTCTGTTTTCTAAGGTTGGAAAGTTAGTACCGTGGTAAGGGATCTATAAAATGAATTTCATTTTCGCAGTAAAAATTGTAACATTTTCTGGGCTCCGTCAGTACAGAACCACCTGCTGGTTTTAACTAGGAAAACAACCCAGTTTGTAGCCTTTCAATTGCAACAAAAATGTCAATAGTTTACTTCATATTTTATCTATTTGTCTCTGTTACTACTTAATCTCTAAATATTGGTGCTACTGGCTACAGATAAGAATATCACTCACATATTTCAGTTCAAAATCTTACTCGAAACATATATCATATTATTTCCAGAAGCAACATAACCAAACACATTTCGAATAAATATGTCCTACTAGAAATAGCAAGAGGAATAAAACAGTGTTTCTCTCTATTCAAATAAATTACTATAAGTCTTGTTCCATAAAACATTTCTTCACTTTAAAATGTAGCTTTTAATATGGGTCCATGCCAGATACTCTAATGATATGTATATACTTTCTATCCCAGATATGCTATATTTGGCTCATGCAGTATTTTTTAAAGGTCAAGATTTCTAAATTCTTTTTAAAAATATGTGCACTTGATTACTCTTAGCCCACGTTTGTACATGTCAACAGTCTGTTCAGGCTAGAGAGTGCTCACCATTTGGCAATGGGACACACTCATTCAAATTTACCAGAGTCCCCGCTGGCTCTTCGAATCTATTTACACTGATTTAATTGCCCACCTTGGCTGTTGGATAGACCGGGTTGATACTGATGTGCAGCTATATAATTTGATGCATATGCAACACTCCATAAAAATGTACTCATATTTTAACTTTTAGAAACCATATTTCACCATGAATGACAGATTACATCATGTTAACAGTGTCTTCTGAGAAATGAAGCCTAGCTACTCCACGCACATTACCTGATTCCACCCGGATATAATAAATGAATTGGCCTCAGTCCATCAGGGTGGGGAAAGATCTGGAAACAGCCTCGTGAATTGCATTACACAAGTGGCTTTCATCTCCATCAAACCAATATCCATCTCTTATATATTAAGCATTCTAATAGTCTTCAATTCTGAAACAAAAATCATAGATAAGAGAGCCCATATACACACAAATAAATAGCAATTTTATAAAGTGATTTTAATTATCCAGTAAGAAGTAAGGGAAGGTGTTCAGTTATAGCACAATCGTGCAATTGACACAAATAGACTCTGCACTCTTATTTCCTTATTTAGAGTGGGAAGCAGAGGCCAAACGCAGTGTTTAGGGTTATTCATAGGAATAAAAACAGTCTTTTAATCTTGTCATGTTCAACATTGTTCACATGCATGAGTTTTGAGCCTCTAAATGCTCCCCCAAAAAGCATGTCCATACTGTGTCAGGTATTCAGATGACAGTCTGCAATGGTGACAGATAACGGACATGTGATAATGGGTTGAGTGACAAACTAGCTTTCAGCACAACTGAGAAAAACTGTTTCTCTGTCTTAACACTGAGCTTTATATTGCATCTCTGAACACGGTGACAGAGTCAGCCCAGTGTTCTTACTCGTGCTCTGAATTTAGCTAAGAAACTTCTTCGTTTTATAATTCTATGGATTTGAAGTGGCTGGTACTCTGAAGTTGGTAAGTGGAATTCTGTCAATTTATTTTATGAGAGTCCTAGATCTCTAAAATTAAGTGTATAAAATTTCTGTGGTCCATTGGGCTTCATTCGAACAGTCTAGAGTTTCTTAATATCTGTAACCTGGACATGTTCTCAGTAAAAGTTTGGACTGACCCCATTATTGTGTGCTCGCCCTGAATTTTTACTGTTTCTCAATAAAGTCAGAATATTTTATTATATTATTAGAGCTGTTCTATACACTGCTTTTCATCAAAAAAACAATTGTGAAAAGTTCATTCTACTATTGTAGTGCTGATATTTCTTCTGTATACAAAAGTTTTTGTCCATCAAGTACAATAGCAACAAGCCCTGAATGGTGTGGCTCAGTGGGTTGGACACCGTCCTGCAAACCAAAGGTCACCTGTTTGATTCCTGGTCAGGGCACATGGCTAGGTTGTGGGCCAGATTCCAGTTGAGGGTATGAAAGAGGTAACTGATTGATGTGTCTCTCCCTGACTTTCTCTCTCCTTTCCCTCTGTCTAAAAATAAATAAATAAAATATTTAAAAAGTAGTATGACAAGAATTTCCCCAGAAGGTGAACTTAATATTTTGGCTTCATATTCATAAATAAACATAGTTATTTATTCTACATATCTTCAGTTAAGAGTAGAGCAAATTGTTTCAGAACATTTAATTTAGTTGCCAAGCCTTTAAGGATCTTCATGTCAGATTGAGGAAAACATTCATTGTTTATGTGTGATTTTAGGGAAATTTATTTATAGTATTTCTTGAAGCCTTCTATAAATCTCCATGTTAAACTAGTTGTACAGTATATTGACTACACTTCTTAGTTTGAAACAGTAATTTAATCAACCAAAGGTATTTTTTTCCCTTCAAAGACATGGGAAGGTTCACAGTATGAAAGAATATGTTAATGAATCAAATTGAAAGGGCTACCACTAACATAGTTTTTACAAGGCTCTAAGGCTAGAATAAATAAATACCAATGGGTTCAGACCGAAATTCCCAGGAGATAGGCCATATGCCTATCTGTAACTTAAAACTGTATCCAGTGGATCACCATCCCCTGGTGTTTATTCCCTGTACATGAAGGAAGGTTCCTAAAGATGGGTAAAACAGCAGACACACACACACACACACACACACACACACACACACAGACACACAGACAGACACACAGACACACACAAACAGACACCAGTGTGGTGGTTACCTGAGGGGAGGGTGGGGGCATCATAAAAGGTAATGGGCGTCAAATATATGGTGATGGAAGATTTTATGATGTATCATAAAATTGCACTCTTGAACCTATACAATTTATTAACCAATGGCACCCCAGTATATTTAAAAAGAAGTAAAAACACAAAAAATTGATATATATACACATATATTCATGTGTACATATATGTATACATGTGCATGTGTATAGTATGTATACATATAACACAATATAGTGTACGTATGCACACACATAACATACATATATTATGTGTGTGCATATGTACAGTATATTGTGTGTTATATGTATACGTATATACATAAATATATTTGTATAGATTTTTATATATAGCAAATTACAAAAATGACAGATATCCACAGCAAGAATAAAACTCAGTTGATTGCTACAGATGGTTACATGCCTCTTAAAAAGCCTAAGTCCATTGTTCTTAAAAGGTTTGATCTCTTGAAAAGAAGTGGTCACTATATAGGCTTCAATTTTTTCTTAAGAGTACATGTTAGTATGAAGTTTCTGTTTGCTCAGTATAGCACAGAATGCCCTTTAATGTAATAAAGCATTTAAAAACACTACGTATTCCTTAAGAACTGTAAACATTGCTTGAATTATTGAGAAATGTTTGGTGTTATGGCATAACTATGTTTGTTTGGGTTAATATTTAAGTGCACAGTTATTTCATATGGCCAGTATATAATACATGAAAAAATGTTCTTAAGATGAAGATCTCTGAAAAATATATTAGACATTTCACTTTCAAAGATATTTTATGTTCAGTTTTAGAAGGCAGGACATCTCTGTGTATGTATATATATATGTGTATATTTGAATATATATCAAAATCATTATTTATAAAATATGTGTATGCATTAGAAGATGGCATTTTTAAAATCTTCAAATTTATACCACCTTTTGAGTATTATTAAATTTGTCATAAATTTTGTCTTTAAATGTTGGTGTGATATATAATACATGCAAGCAAATAGATGTGTTATGAAAATAAATATAAATAAACCCCAGGGAACATGATTGCTTTAAATAACTCATAAAAAGAGTAACTTTTAAACAATGTTATAAATAATATTATGAAAATTTGCTAATAGATAAATGTGCAGGTACAGAAAACAGTCAACTTTGTGTTTGCTTCTATCCCTCTTAAGAGATTGCAGGCTCTCTTCACAAGTTAGAGCGCTTTGAGGAGCCTAGAAGACAGTGTTCTTGCTAACTTAATTTATGTGCAGAGAATATTTTCCCAATTCAGAGCAAACATGTAAAGCAAAATAAAATAAATGGTTCATGAATGGATTTGCTCTATGTGGATGTTTCTCTAGAATAATCAAACTGAATTATTTCTGCAAATCTAGGTCAGCCTTTGATGAAGAACTGATGCTCTATGTCATCTAAACAGTCCTCAGAGCACCTTGTATTTACCGTGCAGTCCAGGCTAGAAAAATTTGGACAGCCATCGCTAAACGTCCTATTGACAACTAAAATTCTATTTAAATAAAATACTGTCACATTTTTACTATTTGTATTGCTTCGTTTAGTGTTAAATCTGACCACTTCTCTCCTGGCTTTTCTAGGGACCCTTACAATGCAATCGAAGCTATAGACCCAGAGAAACTGAATGTCTTTCGGACAGTGCGAGAGATAACAGGTAACTTTCTAAAGTGCAACTGTTGTACTATTAACTATGTATTTTTGCTGTTTTCTTGAAAATATTACACAATACTGGAATCAGAAACTCTTTTTCAAAGTAAATTCTAGTCATTACTTCTTGGCATTTCTGTATGGTTTGAAAGCCCACAGAATTTAAAGGGTAAAGTATCCTTGAAATTTCCATTTTACTAGTTTTGCAATTGTCAACTGACCTTTGAATCTATGTTTTTCTTTTCACCTTTTCACAAGAAGTCCTACTGAGCATGAGTAATGTGTATTATTCATTTAACACATTTATAGAGCACCTGATATAGTAGATGATATGGCTCATAGACATAAACATGGATTTGCTATTAAAAATATAAAATCCAATGAGGAGTGTTCTAAGGCATATTATATCTATCTATTTATGTACATACATATGTGCGTTATATGCACATATGTATATATGCACATGTATATGCCTTAGAATGCAAGATAGAAAGCTGATGTCATAAGTGTAAAAAGTGGTAAAGGATTTCAGACAAATTGAAATTGTATTTTCTCTTTATTCTAGTTAGATAAGTATTTTTGCTTTTGGAAGGATAAATTAAAGTAAGAATTATTTAAATAGTTTAACATATACAATTATATAGTTCCATATTTCTGAGAAATATAAATTCTTGCTGCTCATTTTTTTATATTCTTTATTTCTGGAGGATTGTAGCCCTGATACTTTGGATAACATACTCAGTTTTGGAAGAAGTATGAGATAGAATGATTCAAAAGTAGAAATATTCATTGCCCTTCTCTTTTTGTAGGTTAATGCATTTCATCACATTTCTAGAATAGTCAGTATTAAACACTATCACTAAGACAATGACACTCTGAATGTTCCTATTCTTTTGTAGGTTTTTTGAACATACAATCATGGCCCCCAAACATGACGGACTTCAGTGTTTTCTCTAACCTGGTGACCATTGGCGGAAGGGTGCTTTATAGGTAGGCTTCTGTGTTCAAAGATGAGGTCTGTCAGATTTCAAGAGTAGCATCATGCATATGTTATGTCAAAACCGTTAGCCTCATTAATTCACTGATTCTAGAAATACTGGGTTTCTACTTTTAATTCCAAATGTAAGCTTAACAAAAAATATCCCAATTGTGCTTAGAGTATAGAGAATACACCTTGGATTTTTCAGCTACCTACTATTACAGTAACATTAATGTTTTGTAGGTATGAAGCACATGATGAGGACCATAAAATTTAAACCTAATTTTTGTTTCTATGTTATTATAAATAAAAGATAGAGTTGGATGACTTAGAAATAGCCCAGATGTATGGAATACAAATGTCATACCAGGAAGTTCTTATTTCTTCTCTGGTGCTGTCATTGGAACCAAGCATCACTGAGCTTATGTTTCAGAAATTAGCCCATGACCCTATACGCAGTGCTAGTTATAATCAACTGAAAAGTCAGGGCTCAGAAGGACACTGTTATAATTGTCTGATGGCAATATTTTTACTCATATAATAAAAATAGAGCTACTATTATCAAGATGAAGATGCCAATCACCAGTTGCTCATAGCTGTGGCCTTCTGAATCATCTGAATAGTTTTTGCAGAGGAATGTTCAAGCTTAACGTAAAATTTGATGCAGATTGCTTGTTCTACTCAGTCATTTTGAACACAACGACCACACAGTACACATGCTCACTCAATTGCATCTACACCCCCCACTGACTAGTACAGTGAAGTCATCATTGTTCACACATGCACATCCCAGTCCACTCTCCTTGGCTGCCAGGTTACATCAATGTCCCTCAAACATTTCTCATTATATTAACAGTGGCTGGACTTATTCCAGACCAACCTTTATTGTGTGTGTGTGTGTGTGTGTGTGTGAAACAGTGATATACATTTAGATTTATAAATAAAATAAAAGGGGACAGCTTAGATATTCAAATCACATTCATTAGTTGATTAAAATGTTGGAAACACATTTAATCTTCAGAGAATGGAAAAGGAACTCAACTACAAAAATGTATGTTAAAATAACAACAATTTCCCTGAAAAGATAATTTGTTTCCACAGTATAGTTGTTTAACTTTTAGAGATCCTTTCCCCAGTTACACAAGCCTTCTTTTAATTTACATTTAATTTCATTCTTCTCTTTCATTCTTAATATATCCTAACTTTATACATTCTTTAAATATTACTATTATATTTTTGTCTGTGAATAAATTAAAGCAAAATATCAAAGATATCTCTATGATATTTACCTTTGGAAACCATTCTAATTTATGAACTAGAGTACAATTAATATCTTAATTTGAATAGACAAAAAGCCATTCCATACACATTTATTTAATTAGTCTTAACAAAGGATTTCATCTTTGAGGAATTTAAGACTTTAAGGGTGGAGGGTCAGTTAGCATTTATGTTGATGGTAAATATGTAGACAGAGATATCATTAATATTCATACTTCTAAAAATGAACATTCTTCCTTTGGGTGTCACACTTGAAACTACCAGTGGGTAGTATGTAAAGATTTAATATTCTGAGCACAAATCTATTGACTCGATCTCTTTGTGCCCTGTTTGCTTTTTTTTTTTTGGAGTAAGATGTGACATCGCTATTTTATTTCAAGAACAAATGTCCTTGCCAGAAATTATTTATTATCGTTCAGTGTCTCCTCTGCCTTCTCTTTAGTGGCCTCTCCTTACTTATCCTCAAGCAACAAGGCATCACTTCACTGCAGTTCCAGTCCCTGAAAGAAATCAGTGCAGGAAACATCTACATCACTGACAACAGTAACCTGTGTTACTATCATACCATCAACTGGACGACGCTCTTCAGCACTGTCAACCAAAGAATAGTGATCAGGGACAACAGGAAAGCTGAAAACTGTAGTAAGTACATTGCTCAGACATGAAAACATGGATGCTTTAAACATTTTCTCCCATTATTAGATCAAACAGTTAAAAATAGCAGTGGGTCAGAACTGTTGCCTTCCCTTCCTCAACCCTGAAGAATTGTTGGTACAAAATAATCAGAGTAGGTGAATTTTTATAACATATTGCATGCTTTTATATGTTTGCAATATATAAAAGCAATATATAAAAGTCTATATTTGCAAATCTTGCCTAATTGCAAGTACCCTCTGTGGAGAGTAAGATTCAATCGGTGTAAGCAGAACCTGGGAACCTAGCTGTTTAATCAGCATCTGGGTGATTCTTTGGATCCAATCAGTTTGTGGAATTCATCCCAGTGAATTTTCTCTTTGCTTTATGTGAATTTGATGACATAGAATACTTCTCATTTGTTATTTGCCATTTGAGAGTAGTGGAAATAATGAAGATGTTTTCTTCTGAAAAGTATAAAATGCTGTTCAAGAAGAAAGTTCATTTCATAAATGCATTTCTGAGGTGTTTCACTACCTCTTTCTTACATATTCTGGCTGCTTGTTGATCCTCTTCATCACTTCTTTGTTGCACAGATGCTAATAATGTTTTAATGGGTATAAGATGTGACCATTCCTATCTTATACTTGATATGCCAATGATTAATACTTAATTCTTCCCTGTTTTTCTATCAAGTATTTCTCTCTTCTACATCATAGAGCACTATTCTATGCATTTAAGTGACTGGCTTATGATGAATATCAGGTAAAAGACGGGATTTAGATGATCTGTCTGGAAATACATATTCTAGTTGTAATGATGAGTGAGCCCTACTTAAAAGTCACACCTCTAAAAATTATTTTGCTATCAGAGTGTCTTATGATTTCTTTAATCTCATCATTAGAACAATCACTGGGTTATAAACATGTATAATGATGTTTTTTTCTGTGTATATGTAAATAAATAGTATAGGATACTTTAAATTCCTTTCCCTTTTTTAAAAAAGAATTTCCATCACCACTTATCCCCTCTATACCCTCTTCTGCTATTTAAAAAATAATAATCTCTTAGGATATCAACATGATCTAAGCTTACTACTTTGTGTAGTAGCAACTTAGTTTATTTTTAATATCTTGTTTTATAAGGGGTTTAAGGTAACTCAGGTTAGCAATTTTCATAAAATATAATTTGTAAGCAACTATTTTAGCTGTTTCAGATCTGGAAATATATTTTTCAGAGAAAAGAGATCTATTGCAACATGAGGTCCCTACATTGGAGAAATTTAAGTTCTTACACATTCTTCAGTCCCATGTAGACTTGAGAAGTGCAGAATTTCATCAAATGTCAGAATATGCAGAAGAGATGTTTGCATTGAATGAGATGTATCTTATAATGTGGCCTGGATTATATCCTTGGTTTTGCACATTTCTGATTCTTGACAGAAAGTTGCTTTTCTTTTCTTTTTTTTAGTTCTGACCTTTATACCCACAGCACTATATACATGTTTGTACATGTCTCAGATAGAGTAGATTATTCACAGAAATAAAAAGGATAATTTTCAACACTAACTTATAAATATCTCCCTAAGTCAGGGTTATACACTACTTCTACTTTTTTTCAAAACAACAAAACAAAATAAAATCACAACCTTTAAAAGAAAATATTTAACTATGAAGACAAAAAAAAACTAAATAAAAAATAAATCAGAGAACATTTCTCCTTGACCCATTTAATCATTGAACAAATTCTTTGAACATTTAACTTCTTTTATCTTTTATAAAGCTTAATAAAAAGGAAATGGGAAGAAAGAATTTTAGATAGACATTAAATGTAAAATTGCAAGACAGGAAAACTTCATGTGATTATTCCATACATTCTGAAGACTTCTCAACTTTTCAACCCACCAAAAGAATGTGCATTATAACATGTAATGTTATATAATATGAACAATAAGCTAAAAATTTTACCTGCTTTTCCACTTTTGGTCCCATTCCACTTGGGTGGAGCCTTGCCATTTTTCTGGCCATGGACATATTTCCTTGTTCTGGACAATTAGAGTGGACTTTGCAGTTGCAGGAAGAAATGAAGCAGGAGAAGCAGTTTGGTGGTGCTGTAGTGTAACACTGAGCATATCATTTTTCATTTTTCACATCTTAGAGCAAAGAGTTTTTGCATGAAATCCATTTATCAAATTTTGGATTTCAGTCTCACAGTACATTGGATCCTGCATTTTCAGAAATGTAGTTACTCGACAAGTCTGACCGCCTAGGTGGTCCTGCTCACGTTCACATTGGGTCTGCCGTGTTTGCCCACCTGCAATTAAAGCTCTTTCATCATCCATAGTGTTGTATACAGATGGGAAAACTTAAACATTGGCTTTGTTTTAAATATACTGTAAATATGGAGGTTTTAGATATTCTCTATTAATATCCCATGTACATACAAGATACATATGAGTACACACAGTTGCTACAAGACATGCATACACATACAGCACACGTGTGCATACAAGTGCACATGCAACACACACATGTACACAACTCTAGATCACAAACACATGCATTTATGCATGCACAAACACATGAAATCTCCATAAAGTACTAATCTAAACCCCAATATAAGGCTTGGTAACTTAAAAGAAAAGACAGCCTTGTTTTAAAGTTCAGTGTGTTTTAGAGTTCTACATAGTTTAAAACGGTAATGACAGTAAAAGAAAAACTTTACCTCACCTATTAAGTGTGGCAGTGGCCTACATCTTTTAAGTACAAAATTTCAAAGCAGCCTTTGTGGTTTGAAGAGATTGAGATTGAGTGAAACCCCAGGACATGAAAAGCAAGAATATTTTCTGCTTCCTTTACCTGTGTAGTTATGGCCCTGACAAAATGACAGTGCTGGCCGAGGGGCTTTTAGAGCAGGTGTGTAAGGGAGTTTGAAGTCTCTTGAAATATTTAGGCATCAACTGTTAACAACAAAGTCTAAGCGGTGAAGAGGTAAGTATTACACCAACACTCCAGAATCTGTTACATGGGAACGCATACATCTCTATCTTAGAAATGTTCGTATATACACACTTAAACCCAACAAAACAAAGAAACTAAATTCATAATTAACCTTTCAAAGTGAACATAAATTTCCATTTCTATGTATAATAGAACCATTATTATTGTTAGAAATCAAAGCAATAGAAACATATAAAAATAAATGAGGTATAGATATAATGAAGCCTATTCTTGTATATATGGGTAATATATATATATATACATTTATGTATTATTAATACAGTCATCTGTGTCTTCTACTTAATAGATCATGAGCATCTTCTTTGTGGGTGTGTTGAGAGCTCTTCTATTAACAGTTTATACACAGCATATAAAATTTATTTATTAAGGGCTATATTAACAATAAATTGATTTCTGTTTTTCACGGTATTAGTACTTCAATAATATAAATCATAATTCATAAAACATTTTGTACTGTGTAATCATTTAGTAGAGTAAAGAATTAGAAGTTGTCTAAATGAGGCTACATAATACATTTTGGTATATATTACTACATCGTCTTATGCAAATACTAGACCAGTGTACATTGTTCTAGACAATGTTTGGCCAGGGATAGTTCTACCCCTCTTTTCAACACTAGATATTATCCATGGTTTTAAATTTTGGTGAGCTGAAATATGGAAAACGTGTCTTTTAAATGAGTATTTTGGGTTGACATTGAGACTCTCATTTACGTATCCCCTAGTCATTTTTATTTCTTCTCCTGTAAGAAAGAAAAATTAGTGGTGAATTTTTTCATTTGCAATTGGGAGTTGGTCTTTTCCTTCTGGATTTGAAAGAGCTCCTCACAAATTAAATACATTGAATTTTTATCTCTTAAATGTGTTATGTATAACTTTCCTTCTCATAGATAACTTAAAAAGACTTTTGTTTTTTGATAAACATTTTGTGGTTTTATCTAGTTAATTGAATGATTGTTCTCTTCCCTTTATGATTATTATATTGCCATAGTCTTAGGTTTTTTTCTTATAGTACTTTATAGACTGTATTGAAATTTTTAACCCATCTGGAAGTTTAGGCATAGCATAATTTTTTAAATCTTAATTGATTAGGATATTGATCAAACATTATTTATTTCATAATTCATCTCTTCTCTCTGAATATTGGTGTTTGTAGTCTTTTAGGAGCAAAATAGTGAAAAAAATGCCAACTTCTCTCAATTTTTCATAATTTCCTTTAATATTCACTATGACCCTATAAAGTGTAACTATTTCTATTTTGTAAGAAATTAAGGGCCTTCCTGGATTAGGCAGAAGAAAAATCTACATGATCTAAGTACTGAATCATAAATTTGCAAGTAACGTGTTATCCAGTAGTAGACATGCAAGAAATAAGAGTTATGAATTGGAGCCTAGATATTAAGGACTTTAAAAACAACCTCCTAAGATTTTAAATGATGAAAAGCTTATGCTTAACTCCCCTATAAAGGTTTGTTCCTTTTGTAATTAAACTATTTTAAGGCTGGCTTTGTAAGTAACAGAGTTAGTCATTTTCCAGAATATTCACACAATATGAATTTAGTTTACTGGTTCAGGAGACTAATATTTGGTAATATAGAATACTTTTTTGTTCACAAACTATCATATTTTTTATAATTTTGCTGGTCTTTGAAATTCGATAGTAGAAAAATCTACCTCATTTAACATGAATTTAAAAAGAAATTGAATCACTCCAGTTAATTACTAATTACTGAACCCTCCACATTTGCCACACTTTTCAATAAACCACAGCACATAAAGTATGTAACTTAGAATATAGTAAAATCAACATTCTTCTAAGTAATCAGAATGTAGAAAATCTTAGTTGTACTTCTAAGATTTTAATTTTTTATCAAAGTATTACATTAATACACTATTCTTAGTAAAAAAAAAATCAAACAAGATTTTCTTACTGTATTTGAAACCGCAGAGTGTCTAATTACTACCAATGCTGCAAAATGTTCTCTGTGTT